CCGCTATGGCCAGAGCAACATCCTCATTTACCTCACTATCTGCTCCGTTATCGGTGCCTTCTCCGTGTCCTCAGTCAAGGGCTTGGGTATTGCTATCAAGGGCTTCTTTGCTGGCCAGCCTGTGCTGCAGCATCCGTTGACGTGGATCCTACTCATCACGCTAGTGGCATCCATCACTACACAAATTAACTACCTCAATAAGTCTCTAGACATTTTCAGCACCTCCTTGGTGTTTCCCATCTACTATGTGCTGTTCACCACCATCGTCATCACAACTTCCATCATCCTTTTTAAGGAGTGGGTCACCATGACTGTAGTGGACATCATTGGGACAGTTTGTGGCTTCCTCACCATCATTTTGGGGGTGTTTTTACTCCACGCCTTCAAAGACATGGATGTCAGTTTAGGGAATCTACCACAAGTCCTCCAGAGCGGACAGCAAGCGCCAGTCACTCGAGATGACAAGAACGTCCTGATAGAGGTGGACAACTCCAGCATCGCCCCAGAGGATAAACCCAAAGTATTCATGATCTACACCTAGTGCTTTTTATGCGAGGGTCTGGAGGTTGGGTGAATGGGTTGATGTCAATATTCCAGATGCTACTGAGCAATTTAAAAAAGGAAAAGCAGAAAATAAAACCAACGGTGTCTTATCCAAAGCTTGGTAGAGTTAAGCCAAGTCTTTCTCTGGGCTTTTGGATTGGATCTTTCTCATGGTGTGGCAGCAAGGGGTAGGTTTAATCCTCACTGGGCTTTAATACAGCCACTGAAAATGAAAATGAAAATCCTCTTGAAATATGATACTCCTGGGACCAAGCTCCTCTCTGAGGCCCCGTCCCATCTCTTATTCTTGGCAGGGCTAATGTTTACTCTTGCACTCTTAATTGATGTGTTTATTTCCAAGGCCCTGATTGAGTCATTGATTAGTGTTCTTGTCTTTTTTTTTTCCTTTCTAGACGCTTGCATGAACGCTAAAATACACACCAGTATCTCAAACGGAGGTGAGAGACAAGGACTGAATGGTGTACGCCTGCTATTCAGACTCTGCTCATCCATGTTAAATTACTTGCTCGACAAATATGGGACAAGAATATTGGTGAATATGGGCAAAACATGGCGAATTTTGGAATAGACGCTCACTTAGGCTCAGTGGCAGGACCCAAGCCATGAAGTGGTTTTACAGGACCGCAGCAGAGAAATCTTTTTCAGCTTTTGTTTTTTGTGAGGTGCAGGAGTTTCCCTGCAGCACAGTGTTAATTAGTTTTATGTGGGTTTTTTTTTGGTTGGGTTTTTTTCCCTTAGCAGGTATGGTGCCCAGGCCATGTTGATGTGGTTGGTGAAGCTGCTGGGCCTGATCCAGACCTCACCCGAGCAAGGGGCAGCCCCCGCTCAGGCTGGGAAGCTCTGGCAGGGGAAACCCTGTCAGGAGAAACACCGCCACTGTCTTCAAGACTTTTTGTGGTCTGTGAAAATCTTTTCAGCCTGAAAGAGCGAGTGGCTGTAAATTTTAAGGTTTTTTTTCTTAGCAAATGTCTTGGAGAGCCCCCCAACCCTTTGAGCCCCATGACCTGGCCTGCTAGCATTTAAGCCCAAAAGCTTTATTGTTGTTGTTGTTTAGAGGGAGGTATGAGCTGCATGTTAAAAGCCGAACAGGCATAAGTGGGTGATGCTCTGCAGAGCTGTAGGGATGCAGTTTATCCCAGAGCAGTCCCGTTCACCCCTCTCCATCTCTCTCAATATAATATGGATGTTACCCGGACCCTTGCTCACGGCTCACCTTCAATACCCCCTTGGATTTGTATCAGTGGTGAGGACAAAGGGATGAGAGAAATAATATTTTGAGCTGGAAGGTGAAAAAGGAAGGCATTACTGCAGTTAAAAGTTTCTCCCATCTTGCTGCTGGGTCTTACAGGACAGGGAGACTGGAGCAAATCCCAAACAGGGAGCGGCGAAGCCTGAGCAGGCTTTGCCAAGCTGGCTCGGTCCGGAGGCAGCCCTGGCTGGGTTAGCCCTGGACCACGGCCCACACTGATGCTGTCTGAGATGCTGACCTGGTTATACCTGGGTCTGAGCGTCGCTGAGCAAATGCAACTTGGGGTTGGGGGGGAGAGGAATACGCAATCTCTTATTTTAATAACATTTCAGTACTTTTTTTTTGGAATGTGGAAAGGGAAATAAAGGCTTTTTCTAAAAAAAACCCTTGCAGGTCAATCTCAAAGTTTTTAATGATTTCTCTGATCTTATTGGTATAGCCCTAAAGGATAAACAGGCTGAAGGATAGCCGAGTACAGCAGAAAGAGCATCTGGGGCAGAGAGTAAAACAGCAGCGACCTCCTTTGGTAGCAGAAAATAATCCAAGTCATTCACTCTAGCTTTGTTTTTGGCGTTCTAATTGGTGTAATGCTTTATGCATTTTATTTTAGAGATAGATTGTAAACGGAACTCATCCTTCTCACTGCCTAGAACTGCATTTCATAAAAGCCATTCCTCCAGCTATCCTGCCATCTCTGGACAAATGCCACATATAAAATGAAGATTTGAACCAAGGTAATGAAATAGCACACAGTGACAGAGTATTTGTTAATGACAACTGACAAATTTATTAAAACTAGGCAAAAGGCACAATGAATTGCATTCTTCAAGTATTTGCATAGATGCACAGAGAGCATTATTGTAAACCATTAATATGTCGACACAGGAGAAAGTGAGATGTTTTTTGGTATATGTTGTCCCAAGTAACATTATCTTTCAAAAAAATCAGGTTTTACCATCTTTTACTCCTCCTGCAGTTCCCCTGTTCTCATTTACTCAACTTGCACACATATGAAAATTTAAAAAGACTTACTTAAAACTACCTTTTGGAGACTTTATGATATCCCAACAATAAAGTTTTCCATTAGGGTTTGGGCACGTCCAGTTGTTCTCTGAGCTTTGTGTGTCTGGGGGGCATTTTTTAAAAGCTTGATCCCATGCTCACATGAAATGCAGTGAAAATATTCTCAGTGCTTTTTGATGGCCATTCGATAAAGATCAGGGGTTGTAGCAGAAGTATGCTGCTGTCTTCAGCGAGGGCTCAGATATAAGATCAAGTTCTTGCGGTTGGATCTGTACTACTACAGTGGATGTACAGTATGTGCCCAGCTCACTGCTCCACCTGTGAGCAGTAAAACATGCCATTACATAGGCACATTAGCTGCACCCCAGGAAAGAACAGATTTGGGGATTGTTTGAATACAAGTTGTTTATACGTAATATAATCCAACTGTAGAAAAAGACATACAAAGATTAGAAAGCTGATGTCTTTCACTTGCCATCCCTTATTTCAGAGAGAAGTATTTTAGGTTGGTTTGTTTTCCAGCCGTACAGAAGGTAAGAAAAGGTCCAAAATGATCAAGATAAGGAATGATCAACCAGAAATTCAAGACACACCCTGTGTACTGTTTCCTTGTGGAGAAAGAGGTAGTAAAGTTGCAAAAACGAGTGTGGTTTAAGTCATCCTACAGATATACTGCTACATATAACTACAAATTTAATGAGTGCTCAGGGTTTATCTGTTTTTTTTCAATCAGTAGAGCTTATGGAAGGAGAACCATCAGGCCAGACTTTTTTCTTTATGCCAATAATAGTTTCTCACATGTGCAGCAGCAATCACACTGTTTGAAGATTTGTCCGTAATAAATCAGACACAACAGAACTGTTGTAACCATAGCTCCAGAATTCCCCGTGTTCTCCTAGGAAATCATTTCAGGGAAAAAAAAAGAAAAAACTCTGGCATAACAAAAGGTCTTGATTTAAAATCCTGAGAAAAAATGTACAAAAGCCCAAACTATTAGGAGAAAAAAAAAAAACAAATTCATAAGGGAGAGTCCTCAGGGTCAGAACCATCAGCTGCATAAAGTGCACACAGACAGCTCTCCCCATCCACGTCCTGGAGAAAAAACATGGAGTAAATGAGCTGCCCTACAAAAGCACCATGTGTCATAATTAGTATTACATTTTACCACCTGGGCAATTTTAAGGTAGGTTTCTCACTGGTATGGGGAGCAGACAGCCCATGCTGAATTACTACTCAGCACAGACCGAAGCCTGAGGAGACACGTGCAAAAGTGTCTACTGATTATCCACAGTACCGTATGCTGGAGAGGAGGTTTCAGCACTGGCTTTTGCTGACCTTCCTTCTGGCCATTTGCTCTGTTATCTTGGCCAGAAGAGTTTCCCTGTCGTACCTTGACTGTGTCCCAGTGACACGGATGAGAGGGCACGGGCCACGCTGGGGGTGCTATGGGGTCTTACAGCACTGAGGCAAGACAAGCGAGTGCTGGAGGACAGGCAGGTTGCAACGCTCTTGCTGAAGATGGTTATATGGGGAAAATAATTAATCTGCTCTATTAAAACTAATCAAAATCCACAGTGACCCACAAATTATTTTAACCAGGAATATTTCCATGGTTTGCTCCCTGTTGTGGCCCCACTTGCCACCCACTGTAAACTGAGAATAAGCTAAAGAAAGTTATCAACGGCTGCCTTCTGCTCTCCCAAGAGGCAGCGATTTCGGTATAGCACCAATGTATGCTCCTGCAGCTGCGTGGATGGGCTGAGGAAGCCAACAGGGCTGGGTCTTACATGAAAGCCCATCAGGGCCAGCACCAGCACTGACAGCTTGTTCTCCCTGGTAACACTTAAATAACTGATTAAAAACACGTGAAGCCCCCATCACCCCATCCCTGCATTGGATATTGCACAATAATATTTAAATACCGTATAAACAAGTCATCCCTATATGGAAAAGGCTATCAGCAGAGAGGGTTGAGTTCAGCTTGGCATGTACCGGCACAGTTCCTGAGGGAAACTCCTGCCAAACCTGATGGCAGCTTGTTGAGTCACATAGGTGAGGCTAGAGGAGAGGAACCGAGACACTGTCTGTGGCTGTGAATGTTTTTTTGGGTGACGAAGGCCATCCAGTCCCTGTGAAGGTCAGAGCCAGCCAGGAACAGACTGCTTCATGAGTGCCCACGGGAGCCCGGCTGTCCCACTTTGAAGACGTTCACTGCTCCAGCTGTGCCGACACCATTCTGGGTGAGATGGAAAATGGAGAAAAGGGGGGTAAGCACTGATGAAAGAGCAAACTCTGCCCTCTCCCTCTCCTGGAGCTGATGTTACAGCGGGCCAGGGGAAGCCTGTCTCCGTTCACATGCGTTCACACCCTAATGCATCAGGCAGGAAACTCTCCCACCAGGATCACAATGAAGTTCATGCAGTTCTTTCCATTTTTCATAGCTGGCCTCAAGTATGTTGTCGGCTGGAGACAACACCTGTGCTGTGTGGAGTGGAGGTGTTTTGTGTTAAGGGATGCAGCTTGCAGGGAGCTGAACTCAGTGACTCGAAGTCCCTTACTAATGGTCCTTCTTAAGGACAATTTTGGGAAGCACCTCCTTAGCCATGAGTAGAGAGGGTTTCTGAGCCTTACTGGGGTCCCCAGGTTTTGTGTGGACCTTCCTGTTTTGCTGCTCTTCACTAACCATTCTGGGTCACACACCCTCATTGCTCAGCCCCACTCACACAAATGTTTTATCTGAGGAAGTGCTCAGGGATGTGGAGGACTGAATTAATTGTTTTGCTTAACCCAGTAAATGCTTAATAAGGAACAGTTGAAAACAGAGGCCCCTCCAATAAAGGCAACCAACCCAACAGCCTTTTCATTTCCACCCACCCAGGCTGAGCGTGAAGGTGTTTGCAGTACGACAAACTTCAGAGTAGTTTTATTCCCCAGTAATGAGAGGACGCTGCTGTGCTTCCCATCACCGTGCTCAGTGCCTACCTCTGCCGCAGGCTGGAGTCATCCTGGGTTTCTGGTGTGGGCAGGAGGCAGCGAGATGGCAGGGCTGCTCCCCGGCCAGGCTCTGGGTCTGGCTGGGACGGGATTAGCCGGCAAAGCTCTTTGGGGTGGCCGGGGCCTAGAAATATCCTACACAAGAAAGAAACAGTGTTGAATTCCCAGCCTGGTGAGATGCCCAGCCTGAAAACAGAGATAATATTTTTAATTTTTTGAAAGTCTGAGACAGCAGATTGGGTATGTGGCTGCACACCTCGAGGACTCTGGTTTGGAGTTAGCCCCAGGGTTACAATCTAATGGCTGCATGATGAAAAACAGGAGAAACCTGTTTCAGACTGGGCAGGAGTCCCCATCACAACTCAGCCTGTAGCATCCCCGCCTGAGACAAAGGACTGAAGGGACACAGGTAAAACCACGCTTGCAAAGACCTCTCCCTCTCTGAAGCAAGGAGGAAGCGCAGGTGGCTGCCGCTATGGCTAATCGCATTATGCAGGTGATCAGTGGTTTTCAACACTGTAGAGTTTTTCACTTATCAAGTTTCACGAAGACCGGATGGCCTTAGGCTGCTGGGCAGCTGGCTTCAAACCGAGGACAACCAAAGAGGGCAACAGGGTTACCTTGCTCTGCCTCCTACGTGGAGCTGCGGGCTGAAAGCACTAGAGGATCCAGAAGTTTTAAGCGGTGAATTTTGCAAGTAATAGGGAAGCTATGTTCCAGAGCCTTTTAATTAGCCACATTATTGATGCACTTAAGGTTGGAAGCAAGTTTCACACACATACACTCACTATATGATTGCCCATACAATGCCTGTAAACCCTATACACATGTATATACGTGTGCCCATACAAACACATGCAGCCCTGCACCCACCTACAATCAGTTATTACTTTATTTGCGTGCACAGCTGTCCCTAATAGGATACTCAGAGCATTATATTTTCCATTCGTCTAATGAATTTCAGTGTAAAGCACGCCCCTGGGGAGAAGTTACCCACACAAGAACTAACTGCCTGTTGTTGCTTAGTCTCTGTACTAAGGCGCTGGCTTACAGGTGTTGATACAATAAACACAGCTGCACTCACAACTTGGAGGGCACCCAAAAACCCTGCAGTCCCCTTAGACTACGCATAAATGCGATGCTCGACAGCTGCATCAGCCGATGCTTGGGGATCTATTGCTCTCCAAGGACCTTGCCCTGGGACTGCAGGAAGGACAAGGCAGACTAAATCCCACCGACTGCTGGGTCCAAAGAGCTCCTATAGGAATAGCAAGAGAGCAAATCTGGCAGATACTGCAAACGTCTAGGAAGGACAGTGACACTAGCAAACAGTGAAATTAATTATTTCCCCTGTACCTTCTACATCTTGTGGCTCTCCTCCAACCCAAAAATGGCAAGGTTTCTTTTGGAAATCCTAGGAAAAGTGTTTCATCTAGTAGTTCTGACTGAGAGAAAGATGCTGGATGTGTTGCGGGGGAACACAATGGAGATTGTGGCGAACTTGTCAACAACCAGCTGGGAAGGACACCTATTCCTTACTGACTACAGTCAGCTTCCTGCTTTTGTTTTAGTTTTCTTTCCACACAGGAACAATGGAGCTAGAAACAAATCCCATTCACTAAAATATTTTGGGTTTGTTTTCCTCTATATCCTTCAGAGAGAGACTGCCTGGGAGCCAGCCTCCTGCTCCCCCCTGTAACTGAGCCCTTTGCTCCTTTGCTGGCCCTAACCTAATAAAGCTAGTGGGGAAATATTTTGGTAAAATGGGTTTAAGTCAGCCGGAGTGATTTGCCATCTTTTCCATAAGAATGTGGGGTCTGTACTGAGCTCAGAACAAAACTGCTAGCAAAGGAAGTAAATCAGTATCCTTTCCGTATAACCCTCAAAATAACCTCATGGCTAGGATGCTCACATAAGATAGGGTGAGTCTGGGTTAAGTCTGATGTTTCCTATGCAACACACTAAAGGTCCCATTTCTGCTGCACATCAAAATTTGTCTGAGGCTCCCGAGGCTTTAGTCCAGGAATGACCAAATGCAAGACACCTGGGGGATTGTCCCAAGGAATGGAGATCCTGTAGTCAGCACTGAACCTCAGACTTATCACTGACTGGTAATTTCAGAAGGGCTTGTTTCCAGGAGATAAAATACATGCAAATGGTAAGAGGAGCTATGCTAGGCTTGCTTAGGGAAAAATCTGTACAGTCCTTTCTTTCCTGGCAAATCATCTATTTGATTTGCAGCTAAAAAAACGTTTAGATGACCTCGGTAAAGTGAATGCTGCTTTGTGATCCACGCTACCTGACTTCAGGTCCAGGACAGAGGTATCAGGGGACCTGAATTAAGAGTAATTGTGCATGCTGGCATCCAGCACAGTCATTGTCAGCTACACTACAAAGCAAGAAGGACCACCGGTAATTGTCCTGTGGTGAGATGGAGCACGCACCTGTGAGCATGGTAACTCCTACACCCCCACCAGCGTTAAAGAGGCTCCACCAGCCTCACTCAGAACAAACCTCCCATCGAACCGCATCAGCAGGACAGCGGTGCGACTCCGTACCTGAGAGACAGGGGGTTTGGGAGCAGGAGGCACTGGCCTGCTCGGGGGTGTCCGCCGGGCAACGTCCTTCGCAGGTGCTGGCTGCGCTGGCCTGGCGGGCTGCCCCACGCCGCAGCTGTGGCCAGTGGAGAAGGCAGATGGCTGCTGCAGGTTTACTCGGAGCCCTGGAGCTTGCTGGGGAGGAGGTTTCAATGGGATTTCGGGGAACCCAATCACCTGTGCAGAAGATCCACAAATCCCAGGAGTTAGGTACTTCCACTTCAAACCACCTTTTTATGCTCTGCTACACTTCTGAGGATCTGCATGAGGTCTTTGAGCCACGCAGTAGAAAATGTTGCCTGCAACACCAGTGTGTGTTGTATATGTCTAGTAGGCGTTGATTAGATAGACTAGGACAATTTGGGATCATGAGGCAGAAATGGGAATCAAGAGAACAGAGTAACTCAGGCATTATCGCTGTAAGTGACGCTTGTAAATCAATCCAGTGTTTGTAATTTCTACAGTTTTGAGAGGGGGATGTGACAGAAGAGGATCTATCAGGACAAAGAAGCGGCCACACAGGCCTGGTCAAATCCCAGCTCCTACCTTTAAGGAAAAGGCTAGAAATAGATTCAGCATTCAGCTCCCACTGACTTTCAGCCATGGGTAATATCTGTCTGTTTTTCCCATCCTTTGATAAATCCGCTCCCTAATTGCAGCGTGAGAGGGAACCACATCCCACATCCCAGGGCGGCTGCATCGCTCCCCAGGGAGGTGGAGGGTCCCTACCTTCCTCTGCTCCTGCGGGGTTTTCAACTTGAAGGCAGGGTTTGCGTGCCCATTTCCAGAGGTGTCACTGACAACGAGAGAAAGAAGAGAGTGTTATTTCCTTTATATATTTTTCTCCTTTTTCTTTGCTGTATTTTCCATTATGTTTTAACGGAAATCAAAAAATGAGAAGCAAATACCGACTATGCCACCAAACCGATTTTGTTATATTCCTCACAGCCTTTGCAACTTCTCTTCTTTCCTAACACTGAAAGGGGGTGGATGCCAGCTGATAAGGCACAGCGCTGACAATTTACCTGAACTGTGGGGTCTTCTTTAGAGAACAGATGGTGAATTTATTCCAGCATTTCAGATAATAGAATAAAAACATGATTCCAATGAGAAGGAGAATGGGAGCCAGGATTGCGAGAGTTATCACGACCGCTGAAGGGCCTGAGGGCAAGAAAGTAGAGTTAGTCAAATGGAAAACTCTCCGCTCCCAATCTAACTCAAGTCCTTCTGAAGTGCCACCATAGTAGAGTTGGTCCCACTCACCTTCAGGCATGGGGGGACCACTGTCCAAGCTTCCTCCGCTCCCCTGCTTGTTGCAAAACGGGGGGGCCCACCCCTGGTTGCAGTGACAGTTCTTGTTGTTATTGCAGACCTGGAGCGGGAAAACTCAGAGATTTTAGTGCCAGCTCCTAAAGAATCTGCAAGCTAAAAAAAATTAAGCCCTAGCTGGATAAAACACTACAGAAGAAACTCTTATGGGCATAAACAGGAAGTTAAGTGCCTGCAAACATTTTCTTTTCAGTGAGTGAAAGTGCCTTTTATTTCCTCAGAAATTCTCCCTTTCTCCAAAACACAAGGGTTCTTCAGCTGAAGGGCCACTAACCTGGATTCAGGAGAAAACCAGCATTTAGAAATGCCTTTCTCTTGTTCTTATCTCTAAACTGAAGGACACTAGTCTTCCATCCAATGAAGATTTCTTATTGTTTACATTTATTGCTTGGCCCATTACTATTTGTTTTATCATCTAGGCAGCCCCTGGAGGCGGGGCTGATCCCTCTGATTAGGGATGTCCTGTGCTAATTGTAGCATTTAATTTGATTCTGTGGAATAGCTGACAATCACTTCCTACAGCTTCATGGATCATAGGAACGAAGCAGACTGGGAATGAAAGAGCGGGGAGAGTCCCTCTTCTTGTCGGGTACATCATGGGGCCTCCCAAACTGCTCAGGGAGGCACACACTGCTGCACGCTGCTGTATTTATCACTCCTCTCCACTGCCTAACTGGACCATGGGGATGGAGAGATGCTGATGTTTTGTGCCAGAAATATCAGCAAAAGGTATAAAAAATTCTGACCAGCCTCTTCTTTCCATCCCCTGGGGGCACAGCAGAGCACAGTTTTGGATAAACTGTTCTAAACATGACTTTTTACTATGTTTTTCCCTCAGTAAGTCTGATTTTTTTTTTTTATTCACTCTAAACTGGGCCCAGAAGATTTTTCTGTAAGATTACCCCTTCTTGTTTTTCATTCATTGCAATTCATATCCCTCCTGTAGACCTCCTTAAATCCTATGTCAAAGGGACACTCACAGACCAGAAAATGCATCAAACATGAAAGGAATGTGCAAATTAATCATCAAGAAGCAGAAGTCCGGAGCAAACCTAAGCGTGGTATCAGAACTGAGCTGAACCACCACCCACAGATGAATGGCAGCCCATCTTGCTTCAGTCTGAAATGGAAATGAAAAGGAAGACACCTACTCCATGCCCGTGGCACTTCTTGCTACAGCTTTCAGAATCAAAGATGATGGATGTGTTCTGGCAGCATCCCTCAAAGCAAACCTGCAGAGAAAGGATCCAAAACCTCAGCGTTAGCTCTTTGGGTTATGTACCATATTACTGCCTTGTGTTATTTTGTGACTTGCAGGGTCCCAGACAGCTTGGCAATACAAGTAATACCCCGGGCAGAACAACAGGCCATGAAGCTAACCTGGTTCCCAAGCAAACATTTAATCACTACCCTAAATCCCAGCTAACGCGCATCAGAGAGGAGTGGGAGCTCAGAAGTTGGTAGCTTGGCCATGCCCATGTGGCAAGTCTCTGAAGGAGCTCTCAGGTGTCTTGATTTCTAATTGCGTGTTTCACCTCTAAGCAAGACAACCTCAATCAACTAGTGAATCCCAAATTTAGCACTGGCCCTGGGCTTCATCTGGCAAAGACTTAAGGTATGGCCTTTGGTGTGTATTCTTCCATCGCTTCTCAGAAGCCTCTAAGAAATTATTTTTCTAACAAACATAAAAATCCCCTAGAAAGGCATTAGACATAAGAAACGAATGGCTTTACAACCACAAAGCACTTTCCAGATGGAAAAGTGATACCCTGAACCTCCCCCAAGCCATTACAGGCAAGACTGTACCTACATGATGGCTCCCACATTTTGTTCCTGTCAACACCAAGCCAGGATCCAGCATCTCCTTTTCTTCACTCTCAGATCTGTACACGTGGGTCCCTCGGCACCTCAGCTGCGTCCTCTGCGTGCGGATAGTTGTGTCTATGGCCACTGCATTGGACTGCAGGGGTTTGGAAGCAGAGCTCTGGCACTGGATCTTCCCACATTTAGCATCTCTGATTTCAAAGGAAAGGCTAAAGTGATTATTCCTGGCTTGCTGAAGGTTTTGCAGGCATCAGCTCTACATGTAAATTAAAGCAGCAGTGTTGAGTCATTGTTCAATGGCAAAGAGCAAGCACCTCCCAAGAGCTAGCCCAAGCAACAGTGTCTGATGGGTACTGATGGTACCATTTCACTGTCCCCATGCGTCCAGCCTCAGCAAAATCACAGATAAGATTAAGAAGTTTTTGTCTCAGGTAAAAAGCTACATTTAACTTACAGATTTGAAAATCCCCTCTTCTGTTGCTTTGAAAAAATATCAACTAGATGTTTTAAAATGTAAAAGGCAGGGAAAATGGTAAACTTAAAGCTTTAGTTGTAAGGGGTCTAAGTCTGACAAGGATGCAGCTGGTTTCCCAGGAGACAGAGGGAGGGAGTGAAACCAAAGCATGGATCAGTTTTATCTACTGGACCGTGATTTTGTAATATATAAAAACATCTTCTCCAATGAGCAATTCTTGGCTGCCACTCTGCTTTCTACCTCATCTCACACTTCCTGTAGTTGCCGTAGATGTCCTTCCCACAGTTCCCGTAGATGTCTCCAGCAGCATTAACCTTCTCGAAGCAGGCATCGGGTGCTGGCCTTGCTCCTGGATGGAAGAGACTCACATGGCTGATTCCTGTGGAGCCTGGCAGCCCATCTCACCCCATGCCAACCACCCAGTTGTTCTTTTTCTGGGATGGTTTAAGCATGGGAAATTTTTGCTGCCTCCTCCAAGCGAGCAAGGCAGGAGAAAAGGGTCCTCAGACTTTACCACTGATAACAGGTATGGAAGGAACTATTGCCTTACACAGGGTGAATAATAGCAGGATGCCACATAATATTGCCTGTTCAAGGGACAATGTATTTCGGTGCAAGTAGTGTCCTTACCAGGCCCCCACAGCTGCAAGCACTGGTCTTTATATGTGAGACACATGCCACTGTAGCAATAGGCGTTTCCTCCGTCGCAGGAAGCCCCATCAATTTGGTAAGAGTTGGGGGGGCAGAACGGTGACTCGCCAGTGCAGTACTCTGGGAGGTCACAGAGTCCTGATCTCTCTCTGCAGAGAGTTCCCGGAGACATCAGCTAAAAAGATACAAAGGGAAAAAAATTGAATTATTGCTTGGCTCCTTTGTGGTTTCCTGTCTGCACAATGTCTCCCTGTAGGTAAGAAAAAATCTTGCATGCGTCTCTTCATGCACCTTGTCTTAGGTTTTTTGAGGTCAGCAGTGATCCAAATGACTCTGTAACTTCATTAACTGAGTGAGCTGTGTAGAATCAAATTAATGACTGGATCCCTTCCCTGGGTAGCGATGAGATCATGCACAGAAAATAAGGCTGCCAGATCTCAAGGGGACACCAATCCATCTCCCTCTACCCTAGGGTAGGATCTCATTTACTTAAACCATTCCTGACAGATGTCTGTGTAATCTGTTCTCAAAACCCTCCCTGTTTAGGACATTTGTTTCAGTGTTTGCCTGTCATTTCTGCTGGAGACATTTTCCTAATGTGTAACTTATGTCTCCCTCGCTTACAAGTTTACCCAGTTCATTCCTGTCCTGTCCACCATGGACATGGAGAACGGAAGGGCATACACAGTTACATCTAGGAGGTTTTTCCAAGCCTCTTGTGAAAGGAGTGAGTCCAGGTGGATTCCTGGAAAATTATTTTCCACATGCTCAGGATAGGTCAGTAAGAGCACGCAGTCAATGTGCAAACACAAAAATGAGCTTAAGAGAAATGTTTGCCTATGCTCATTTTTGAGTTAATTTGTTGTCAAAGCCCGAGATCTGTGGCTCCAAAATCAGAAACACATTTTAACCAGCCTCTATAAGGAAAGCTGAGATTTAAAATGATAGTGGTCACACGCATACAATCCTCTTTGCTAGCGTTTCTTCTTGGGCTAAAGGAATTCAACTGCATCCCAGAAAAGAGGGTTTGGAGCAAAGAGAGCATCCAAACTAATCCCTGGAGGAAGCTGCAGAGCTCTGTCTAGATTTCTTCTAGAGCCAAAGGAGACAAATATTCACTCTGATTCATCCCATCCCTAAGTGTTTAAGAGAGGCAGTGTGACTTCATTCCAGCAGCATTCATAGATCATCTAAAGTTATCACAGGAGTCAACTAAATTAGTCAGCTAGAAGAAAGGACCCCACTAGTTTGATGGTACTCATAGCTGTTGTACCTAAAAATCAGACCGTGTTGCTTGCAGGTGAGGAGCTGAACTCCATGTTTGGCTGTGTTTGCTCCCCTTTCCCCTCCATTTTTCAGCCTCACGCTTCCACCACCGTTATTCCCTCTCCTCTCTCAGGAAAACCACCTTGAGATCCCACCTTGCACTGATGACAGCAGCTGCCGTGGGCGCATTCGGTATCCAGCTTCAGGGAGCAGGTGCTGGCGTCGCAGCAGGGATTATTGCATTCCTGGAAGACAGTGAGATGCAGCAGAGTTTACAAGGCAGATGTTCAAGACAAGAATGTGCCAGAGCATCGAAGTGTGAAGCTGGCAATAATCTGTTCTCGTACACGATGAATTACATGCGAACAAAGTAACAGCCTTCCTTCCACGATATGGTCATGATACCCAGCATGTGCTGAATTACAGTACTGCATAATTGTATCCTATGTCGGACTGACTGGATACTATAGGTTGTGCTCATTACATCTAGTGAGTCTGGGCTGCTGGTCCAGCTCCCTTTTGTCTTATTAGTCAAAGTATGGATTTGGAGAAGTGAGATGCAGTGCTAAGAGAAGCCCTGTCCTTGTCAAGAATGGAGCCGTAGGTAAAGTGAACTTATACACGAAACTGCAACATCTAAGATCACTTTTTCTTTTCTTTTTTAAATGAAGTTTTCATCATCTCTGTTCAACCATGGATTACACCATCCCTGTGTTGTGGGATGCATTGTACTACATACTGTGAATTTAGTTAGACATGATACTTTACAACCCTGATTTACATTGCATATACATTTACATACAGGGAAGGTATGCATATCTCCTGCACAAACAAAAGCTGTTTAGATATCATATAACTGTATTTGCAAAATACGTAATAAAATCATTGTGTCCCACTAAACCCCAAATGGTTGGATCTGAACAATTGTTACCTCCACCTCTCCACAGTCACACTCCTCCCCCTCTTCCAAGTAGCCATTTCCACATTTCTTCCCACCATACATTTTTTTGGTATCCGGCATATTGGAGAGACACATCCCTCCACCAGACTGCAGATACTTCTCCAGCTCTTTTCTATTGCACTGGTTGAACACCTTGGGGAATGGGTGCCTGAATATGGACAGCGTAGAAAAACATCATGACAAATCTGGGCAATGGTTTAGAGAACCAAAAATGAGCACATGCAAATCCTGACAAGTGCCAAAGGACACAGGTCCTTCTCTGAAGTCTATGAAATTGTGCAAAAGCGGATCGTGATTTTGTGTGCCTGTTCAAAGTCAAATCCATCTGGATTACATTTGAAGATAAGGTGAGATTGCACTGCAAGACTGTCTAGTAATATAATGGCCTTAAAAAATAAACTTTATTGAACAAAAAATATGTTGAATTAGATTTGACTTTGATAGCTGACAAATACAGCAGTCCTTACCTGCTCTATACTGAAGCTGTGACTTATTCCTAACTCTGCTTGAACAAGCCTGAGTCCAGCACTTGGACTGTGAATAACTGCTTGTGAGTTTAACTGATAAAAATAGTATTTTATTTTTCCTATCTACTGTCTCATTGCAAAGGATGTGAATATTTTCTGTTACATGAATTATTAATTTCTGTTGCTACAATGCCAGAACCTATGCACTCTATATATGACCGGCATGTGTGCATTCATATTGCGTGTTCTACTATGTTCCACTATGTTTTCAATTCTCACCTAAATGTCTTTCCTTATTTGGAGGAAATCATGCACGTAAAAGAAGGTATCTATGGAGAAAATTTTTTTCAAACCTGCTAAACCCCAAGGAGGAAGGCTTGAGGAAACAGGGAATGTGGCTTTAAGTGAATGGGTTCGGCTGACGTTTTTACGTGACTGCAATATGGAAGCTGTTATGGTTCCTCATCCAAAATGAGCTCTGGAATTCCTGTGGGTTTCTAGAGTCACTCTCTCTTCCCCTTTCTCTGAAAGCCAGCTACTTCTTCCCTTTTAAACACAGGCTTTCTGTGGCTTACTGAAACCAAGCAGTATTCTTAAGACAACATGCAGTCAATCTGTTTTCATGTCTTCGGACTTAGAAACATAGCCCTATCGCTGTGCCTTTTAATAAAAATCAGTTCTTTCCTGAAGCAATCTTTTTTCCTCTCATTACCACATTATAATGCACATTATCTTTAGCACAAGACGCTTTAGAAACCCTATCAACCGTGTATCCACACATCTTGTGTGCAACATGGAAATGAAACCCACATAAATCTCTATATGCCAAGGTCACACGTGTTCTTGTCACCCCTTGTTCCTCTCTACTTGCTGGCAAAGGCAGTCCAGGTTTTGCAAAAGGATGTGTGCATATATGCATTGAACTTGCTTTGGGGCGATGGATCATTTGGCAGGACACAGTGAGAAGCACAAACTCAGGGATGAGGGGTTAGAGGGGTCCTGAGACAGAGAGATTTTTACCAGACAGTTTAGACCTCCACTTCTAAATATTGCCAGGTCCCCACATTACCTAAGGCCAACCTCAGGCAGAAGTAAGTTCATTAGGAATTTAGCAAATTCCTATTGATACATGAGCCAGGGTTTGCCCAGCAGTATTTTCTCTATAAACACGCTGGCTCCAACAGGCAGCAACAGACCCACCTTCAGCCTGCATTTCTAGCTCTTACTGCTCCACCAAGGCTCTCTTAATGAAGCCCTCTGCATTTCCCCTTGAGACCCTGTAAGATGGACTCACCCAGTTGCAGAAGCCATGATGCAGCCTCCATCTTCCGCAGGGGTAGTACAGCAGCCAGCTGAATCATGATTCATGCCAAAATTGTGTCCCATCTCATGGGCAATGGTAGCAGCAACACCAATAGCATTATCAGAGTGATCCTGTGCATGGTCAAAGAAGCACATCAGCGTTTTACCTGTGCCTGTCCTGTGCACCTCTGAGTCAATGGGGTAAGCGGCACTGCTCACTGCTACATGTAGAAAACATCTACCGAAGGTATTCCTGAGCAGGTGAGCAAGAGGCCTTCAGGAGAAATATTTTCTTTGTAAGCTTTAGGAGGCTATGTACTCACTGCTGGCAAGAAACATCCTATTAGGCATTAGCAATTACTTACCATGTTTACTCCTCCTGACTGGAAATCAGAGCACATGGCCATCACAGGAGCCAAGCCTACTGTGGTACCTTGGAAGGGCACACCCCTAAAATTAACCCAGAAAGACCATGAAATGGCACCGAGGCACTTGAGAAGGCAAGGCAGAGAAATGCATCCTGCAGTCCACAGCTTTGTACAGGTGAATACATTTTCTTTAGTAATATCTTCAAGTACAGGACATTATATCAGAGCTACAAAGCCTTAAGACCTATTTTTCTTGGACTAGTACTTTGTTTATGGACCAGCCAGCCAATCTTATTTTTCATATGCTCTGGTGCCGAAAAGTGCTCCCCCTGAGCTTTGAAACTAGCACAGAAAAGACTATTTCTGGATCCTTAATTGGGTACTGTTTGTGAATACTTAATTTACCTTAAGCCTGCTATTTGCCAGGTTGGGATTCAGGGACTTAACAGAGTACTAGAAAACACCTTTGTGGTGCAGCCACGCTCAGCTCCTGCCTGGCGAGCCAGAATTCTGCACTGTCCCTGTCGCCATGTCTAGAATGGGAGGTCTGGAAATTGTGTTCAGGACGTGACCAGGCGAAGATGAAATACAGTAATGTTAAAGGGGAGAAAAAAAAACCCAAACAAACAAAACAAGGGAAAAGGCATTGCATCTTTGCATTTCAGTCCTACCGGTTTTTCCTCTGACTCACCACTACTTATTGGTGGATAAATTACCATGGGAGAGGTAACGAGGTCTAAGAGTTGCTGCAAATTTTTCTTCCAACGACATCTGCATTGCTGGCCATAGCTACCGGCCCTAATGAGATCAGTAGGATGAGTCACAGATCATCAGCTAGCTCCCAGCACCGTGTCCCCTGTGTCTGGGATGAGTTAGCAATGAATGCCTTCTGCAAAGGGCTTAGCTCCCCTTTACAGGTCTTGCTTATGGTTCAGATTTTCTTGAAATTGTACATGTAGCTGTGACAGATCATGTGCAGCTGCTTGTGATACACATGCAATAAAGCTGATGCACTTTGATGCTTGTGTATTGAGACTGCTTCATAGCCTGGGATCTCCACTTCTCCTAAGGTGATTTTCCAACATGATTCTTAATGCTGGCTGAGTGGCCTCTACATAAATCTGCCACTTTGAATCTTAGAACGATATAATCTTACATATTGATTTCCCACCCACCCAACCCACTTGTCAGAAACAGGTTATTTCAGGAGAAATAAACTCACGTGATTAGTTGGGCGTTATCGTGTTTTCTGTGCACCCGCTCCTTGCTACTCCAGGCCAGAAAGGACTTCAGGGTGGAGTAGGGATTCTCAGTTACATCGCATTTATTCCAATTACTCCAGATCTCCAGCCCCACCACGGCAATCCTGATATTCAGGGATCTGTAAAACTAAGAAATAGGAAGGAAAAGAGATGCCAAAATGAGCACCACTAATTTATTTTACTGTGTTTTCAATCTTGAATATAAACCTTGCTAAATGCTACTACAGATAGACGTGCCCAGAGAAGATGCTCCCTCTGGAAATGCATTGCAACTTAGTGCTGCAGCTCTGCAGAGAGAAACGTGCACCACCCACAAACCTAAACTCAATTGAACTAGAGATGCTGAACTTTCATTTTTAAACGAATGACAAAGAGATAATCTAGAGAAACAAAGACTGGAGACTGAGATCATGTTTATCTTTAGATATGTCAAAATTCCTGAAAAGAGGAAGGAAATAATCTGCTGCCCACGTCAAGTACAAACAGGACAAGTTTTCATGGGTGGCAGGGTGAGGGGAGTGGTGGAAGGAGTTTAAGGGGAGAAGGGGAGTATGAAGGGAGTAGATCTGAAAAGTAGTGAAGTTTACTTCAGTAACACTGGGTACTACTGCAAGGATGACCTCTGAAGGCTCCTTCCAGCTCTACTTGCCTAGATTTCTACAATTTGAAGTCCCTTGTCAAAAAGTATTATTTAGATAACGCAGTTGAAACAAAGATGTACTAAAACACAGAGATGCTCATGCTGTCTCCAAGGTAAGGAATGGAGATTCCCCCAGCCCGTCCCTGATGTCCAACAAAAGAATTGTTTGATGGATGCTCTCCACTCCCCAAGTCACTGGGGAGAACTGCCGAAACATTATTCTCTCTCCCAAGAAGACAGTCTTCCTCTGTCACAATTAATTCTCGTAATTCATGATTTGGGCTTTGCTTTCCTCATTTCACGCACACCTGATCTCACCTTATCTACGTAATTAGCAGCCTCCAGTAATTTAAGCCTTGTTGCTTCAATGTTGAAGTGATGCTTCTGAAACTGAACAAAATGAACATGTCAGCCAGCACATAGGCAACTAGGAAGAGCTGAAATGTGTTAAAACAAGTCACATTACTCTGGGAATAAGAAGGTAACTATGAAACGAAGCCTGAAAGCCTTCCTTCGCTGTACATCTGACTATAAGCCCACCTGCACATGTATATTTAGAATTCATCCCTGGCATCCCACTGAGGTGACGTTACTCAAGCCGTGGTAGTAACACAGTGGAGCAACCCAAACTTTTCAGAGCCCCCAGAGCCAGGGGCTGACAAAGAACTGACAAATGTGCCAGGTAAAATATACGGTAACAGGACTTCATGTCTGAGGTCAAGGCTGCCAACGAATGGGGGATGCATCTCACTCATCCAACGAATTTGCCTATTTAAACCACCTGGCAATTAACAAGTTAATTTTAGCAAACTGCTTGATTCGAGGAATTAAGATTGCAAAATATTCAGATTTTTGTTTAACCTGGGACTTTTCTTTTAGCGAGGGAGACAGGAAACGCAGTAAGGGCAGTTAACGATGACACTGCAAGGGTGTCTACCCCAGCTTGTCTAATGAAACGGTGAACAACATATGGCAGTTCCTGGGTATAATGTGTTTTCTCATAGTTTCCCTGGTATCCTGCTGCTTAATAGAGAAGGCTGAAATAGGTTCTGCCTCTTTAGTTTTGGTCAGATTAAATTATAGCCCGGAGCACTACATGGCTTTCACTATTGGAGTTTCAAGTTGTAAATAATGAATAGGACCAGCTTGACTCCCGTCTGTGCTGGAGATTAGATGATCAGCAAAACACTGCACAGTTTGCACTGTCAGTAAGTACGACTGGCGTGCTGTCCAGGCTGGGGGTGGGGGAGGGATTGCTGACTTCACTGGGTCTCTTCCAGCCCTATTCTATGATCAAGAGCCTGAAAATGTCTATTTATATATCTGCTACTGGCTCAGAGCAGAGGATAATCACGGTTATCTTCTCTAGAGATTAAGTGTTCTGCAGAGTTACAAGCACGTTGTTCCTGGAAACCCCCAAGTCACCCTAGGCTGAAGGCAGTCTCTCCCATCAATAACCAGGGCTGACCACTGGTACCTTGGGAGGCAAGAACTGACCCCCAACCCTAGTCCTTCAACCAAATCGCAACCTGCATCTCTCCCCTGGCCAACAGTGACTGACAGTGACAGCAGAGGAGTCATGGCTGCTAGGACAAAAGTGACCAAGACACAGCTCTCCCTGTCTGCTGGTGGGGGTAGGACCATCGGGATGGCAAGAGGAAACCTGTTGAGCTCCAGCTGCCCTCCCCACCCCAGGAGATGCTGCAGGTGGGATGCTCACTCTGGGTCCGGTGCTCAGTTGGTATAAACATGATCCCTTTTCTTACCTCTGCATAATCAGCCACGAGCAGAAGCTCCACGTACTTCGTAGCCTGCAGAGTCTCCCGTTTCACCTGCGGCAGCAGCAACATAGGTTATTTCCCCAATATCCCCCAAGAAACTCTTCGCAAAACATACATACAGGCCTTTTTTCCCAGTTTGTTTTTCACTGGCCATTCACACCACCCCATTACACACAGGGACCTCCAGATGTGATTGACTTATAGCAAGTATGACCAAGTATCACAAGTCAGTTTAGCTACAGCAAGTGCCCACATGCCTGTCCTCAGCCCACCCATTTGTTCATGTATCGGATGCGCAAATCTGCGCAGGAACAGCTACAGCCCAGATTCCTCATGCTACGCAATGGTCCCCAACACTCATTTATTTCCCCGCTGGAGCCACTATTTGGCAACCAGCTTGCTACAAACCCTCTTAAATATTGTCCTTCCTTTCACTTTCTGAGCGATGCTCCCAGAGAACAGCAGGCTCCTCGGGCTTGGAACAGGCAGGAAATTTGGAGCATCACGCACGGACCTGGTTTGAGCCCTGCTCACCCTTTGGCGAGGTGGTTTCATCCCAGTTGTGAAGTCCCTGAGCCAGTCTTTGGCTGCGTCCCCAGTGCCCTCGTAGCCACAGGCTCCTCTCTGCAACCTCAGGTCGTCCAACCTGTAGATCAAGTGCTGGTTTGGGCTGTCGGGAATTGGCTCTAAGACATAGCTGGAATTGCTGCTCAATAAGATAAGTCCTCTGTTGAAATGGGAAGCAATAAGAGGGAAAGTTAATTTCTATCACAGCAACCGGAGGCAAATTCTTCTGCTGCTGCTGAGTTCCTGTCTGACTCTGGCAAGGCACTTATCCTTACCAGGCCATTCAGTTCATTAATAAAAAGGATGGGAATATTTTGAGTTCAGAGGGGGATTCTGAGCTCGCATATATCAGAATCTATTCAGTGGGCCTCAGATATTTAAATAAGGGGCTATTGGAGCACCTGCTGCAACAATGCTAACCTGAGAAGTACTGGTTTTCTTGAAGTACAGCTTTTTCTTTATGGGCAGTTGAAGTTTTTCAACCAATTGAAGAAATTTGTCTTTAACAGAACTGAGCTCAATGGCAGTGATGATGAGGTCGA